CAACATCGAGTTCAAGTCCGCCGCAGAGGCAATCATCAGCTACACTCTCGCATGCCAGCTCGTCCTCGTCTTCCTCGGAACCTTTCGTGTCAGCACGCTTGCCGGCGGCGCTCGTGAGTTTGCTGAACAGGGAAAGGTAAGCACCACAACCCTGTCAGTTCAGCGCCAGCTCACCTTTGCACAGTTCATGAAGCTCGGAGATTTTGTCTTTCATTGCCGAGGCATGCTTCGTTTCGAGCTAGACTGCCACATAAAGCACTTTAAGGTGAGTCACATTCGTCTCGGTCGCAAGCACAGTACCCTCACAATGTCACGACAGGGTTTCAACGACGCTGTCGCAGCAGGCCAGCACATGCGCTATCGCTCAGTGGAAGAGCCCAAAAACTTGATACTCTGCGCTGCAACCTGGTTTGCCTTGACATTCCTGGCCCGTGGAGCCTTCCACATCAAGGTCAGCTGACGAGTGCTGTCCTCGTATGCCTCTGACTCATTGCTGCTCTAGACTCTTGAGGAGCTTGTGGCCTACAAGGGTGCCCAACTTACAGTCCTTCCGGAAAAGGCTGACGAGCCGCTGCAAGTTTTCTTTTCGCAACACCGCTCGATTTCCTTGGCTCAAACTTGACACAGATTTCCCAAAGTGTCCCCAGGTGGCCATCACTTCATTGAGACCCAGCCTGCAACGCCCAGCTCTCTGTCTGGCCAAATGGCTAGGGCAGCCGTCAGAGTCGGACTTCCCCCAATGACGATGAATTCCATTCGTCGGGAGGCCGGCAACCAGGTACGTCGATGCCGACGCCATCTGCTTTATCCTCACACATCTGTGACAGTACGGCATCCGCCTGGGCAAATCAGCAGCTCAGCTGGTGCTCAACCATGCGGGAGCCATGAACACGTTTACAAGATATTATGACAAGGGCACGTTCAACATCGATTACGTCAACGTTCGTCTCGGCGAGAACGTCGACTTGACGGCGGAGCAAAAGGTACAGTACTAGTGAAAGTCACATCAGCTGTTGTAGGCCTGTTGCAGTCTCGCGTCATGAAACATCTCCTTTTCAGACTGGTGACTTCAGGTCGTGGTGTCCGCAACAAGTCTACAATGCCCTCTCTTTGTTGCACCGAAACTCACGCTTTCTCAACAGCGACAACTGTCCTTTCATGACTATACATCTGCTGCTGTGACGGCGATGGTCATGAACCCGTCTTTATTGGTCCATCAGTCCCACGAGGAACGCCCACGGCGCTCCAAACTCGCTTCAGACGGCACCGATTGGGTTGAGGTATGGTCTACCACCAAAAGTATCCATGATTGACCGCTAAACAATTCATATCAGGCGCAGCCAAAAATGCTGCTTGCTCGTGCGGACCAAAACAGGTCCTACGAAAGGATTGTCGCATGCTACGATATCGCCCCCAAGGCGCCAGTCTATGCAAGCAACCCCGCCTCGCAGAAGCCCTCCATAGGCCGCATGAAAGCCAACGATTTGTATCGGCTCAAGGTGTCTGCCGAAGAACTCGCCAAGGTAAAGCCCAGCATCACATCCTCCGCGTCCAGCAACTCAACAACACTTGGGGTCAGTGCGAAATCATGTTCACAGCTGCGGCCGACATTGCCACAAAGTGTCAGCGTGAACTTCGTCTCCACTGGCGGAAAGAAGACAAAGCCCGAGCTGCTCAAGCTGTACCTGCCCTGTCCGCACACCCTCTCAACACGATCGACAACCGCAACCAGGCGCTTGATGCACTCAAGACGCACAAGGCCGACACCCTGCGAAACATCCTCTCGGGCCCCTCGCAGGCTGCCGCAGGGTCAAGCGCAGCTGCCTCTCCAGTTGTTCGCACTACTCATGGCACGTCGTTGCTGGCTACGATCTCGCGGCAGAGTGCTGATGCTCGTTACAGCAACCACTAACCCGACTCCGATAAGCTCTGTCGACGAAGCTGGTATGTCATCACTGATGTCTATGATTGGTGCCTGATGTAGAGCAGAACGCGAGCGCGAGGGGGCCTTGGACAACGCCTTTCGAGAGTTGGATGCGCCACAGGTCAGCCTTCGCAAAGATGACCTCGTCTCGAAGATGCTCGCACTCTCCGAGATGGAAAATATGTTCGTCCACGACGATGACGAAGGGGACATCGATGTGGCTCAGGACAATGCTAATCAGAGCATGATGGGCTTCCTGGCCGGCCAGGCTAAAGCGTTTAACCCTCAGAATACCGCGCATCAGCAGCTTGCTGTCCACAATGCAGTTGAGGCAGTGGGTAGCTCCAAGGCCGAGTATGGAAAGCGCCTGGCCGCTGCCGAGCAGCTTGCCGATGACGATGACAAGTGTCTTGACTTGTTCACCAAGCAGAACGCAGACATGCCGGACGGTAGCCCTCCACTGGAAGTGATCGACGCACATACGGTATTATGTCCTATTGATAAGCACGACACAGTCGACATATTGGAACTCCCCATCGATGAACTACGCCTTCAATTTGTCCAGCGTATTCTTGTCCCGGTGCAGAAGGAAAAGGCTACTCGCGACCAATACGTGGTTTGTCCCCTTGATCGTTCCTATGTCGCCTGTACTGATTTTTCTGCCCTTCTAGCTCGATGGGAACCAATGGATCTGCCAGAAGTGCAAGAAGTTCACTCACCGTCACCCCTCTCCCGCCCAGCCCTTGCAAGATATTTCCCAGCTCACAACCCATATGTGAGTGCAGTCCCTTCTTTATGACGCCTTTCTTAACGGCTGCGCTCAGGTCTCTGCACACCGTCTGGTACGATCTCGAACTGGACATGGTCGTGGGTCCAGGCGTCAAGTCGTATTTCAAATGTCCGAGTGACAATTGCAAGTACACGTACGTGCCCGCCTTGCTTTGGCCTCGCTACCCGTTCAGGTGTTTCTCACGTGTGTCTTGCAGTGCATCGTCTGTCGCCAAGATCCAAGTGCACTGCATGGACAACTGTGTGGACACGGCTGTATGGCGTGAGATCAAGGCGGAGCACGATCGTCGATATTCCAACTACCACTATCATTATCCGAATCAGGGAAAAAGTAAACCATGAACAATAAATGTGCCACAACTGCTGACTAACATCTCATCCACTAGACGAGGCAGGCAGTGACCGCACAGATAACGGCGCCGGTGTTGTTCCAGATGGCACACGCCCGCAACTTCGACAATTCAAGCAAGAGATTGATGAGGGCGATAGTAAGCTCGTCAATTCATGTCTACCTTGTGGTAGCACTGAACATCATTACAGAACACAAGATCCAGCAGTCACTAGCAGAGCTTGCAGAAAACTATGATCCTGCTGTTGCGACACGGCAGATATTGGAAAAGGTACGCGTACGCATCTCATGTACTCTTATTTCAAAACTCACCCTGTTTGGGATAGCTCGGTATATCCCCAAAAGATCTCGACTTTGACCTAGAGGGCACCCTCGCAGCCCTTCAGCAAATATCGCAAAGTTACCTCACCCCTGATGCCCCTGGCGCAAGTATCGTTGAAGGCGTTCCTATGGTTCCCGTCTCACGCAAGGAGCGAGAGAGGTACGAGAGACGCGGCTACAAGTAATATGTGCCACTGCGGGTACTACTCTCATACGCCAGATGGTCTCGCAAGTTACGACATGTCAAATAGTCTTTGCTCCTTATAAATCTTAGCATAGAAATGGCGTGCAGTCCATATCGATCGGTCTGATGCTTACCACAAGTGTAGCCGGTCCGCATCGAAACGGTGAATAAAGATCGAGACGTGGACGAGGGTACGGAGATTCATGCAGTCCACCCATGCTATACTAGGGTTGCTAGGATGGCTGTGTAACGGTCAAGCCACTACACGCTAGGATTAGTGGACACGTGCGAGGTTCTTGGAATGACATCTGAACTTGACAAAGTGTGCTGTGACCGCTGCGTGAGCGCTTAGCAGATGGGGTGGCGCGTCGTACCTCGCTCTTCTTGTCTCTCCCCGTCTTGGTCTGACTCTTGAGCTTGACCTGCTGCGTCTTCCTGCTCTCTCTAGGACCACTGCTGCTGCTTATCATGCCTAAACGCGCTCGGGTCGATGATAATGCCTCTGGTAACGAGCCCACAGTCTCCGCTCCTTTCACTGTTGTGCCGAGGTATTTCCTCCGATTTTGTTCTCTAGTGTGACTCAGCGCTCTCCTTCAAACCTTTAGCTTGAACAAGATGAACAAACAGTGCCTTGGCAGTCTATTCATCTTCCTGAAATCCTGCTCGGAAACGATCATTCAAGCTAGCAATGTTTCGCCAGTTGAGCTAAAGGACGTCCCTGCCTTCGAGGCTGTTGGCGATGATAACCAAAAATATGCTCCCCTCCTTGAGGAAATTGAACGTCTCAATGAGATCATCGCCACTCTTCGCGAAGATAACGTGGCTCTCAAGGCTGAACTTTGCGAGCACGCCGCTACTGGAACAGCCACGTCCAAGTCGACTTTGCTGGCGAGCAACACCTGGGATGCTGGTGCGAATCTCGCTGATCTATCCAGCTAGCATTCGTTCATGTTTTACAGCCTTCTGCATCCCCGAATACAGCTCTAGCGTATAGTATGCTCTCTCTGACCCATCAACTGCACTAAACACGCGCATATAGCCAGCTCTTGCTACACCTGACTGTGGTATGGACCCTCAGACCTTCGACTGGAGCGCCGTCAAGAACTTGGATTTCCCCTCGTTTACTGCCCCGCCCTCTTACCCCGCCCAACTTGATCCTTCAGTTGCCGCGTGGTTTCCCCAGTCCTCGTGCGGTGGCGACGGAGGTTTTCTCGCTAGCATGCCTAACTGAAGTCTGAAGTACAAGCCGATAGCAGAGCGCAAATGCTCCCTGTAGCCAAGTTGCTAGAATGTCGTTTGAACGAAATGGGAGCGCATCAAAATGTATAATGTGATGCATGATACAGCTGATAGTGATGCTGAACATCCCGCATCTTTGTTTGCGTGAACTTTGAGGTAACGAGACTGCATAAAAGCGACATAAAAAAATATCTCTGCCCCAGTGAGGATTGAACTCACGACCTTCCGATTACGTAAGCAGATCATATGACCTAGCTTTAACAGTCGGACGCTGTAACCAACTCAGCCATGGGGCACTGAAAGTTGGTTATAGTTCAAGCAATATGATTATTTTAATTTCATGATTGCTGTACTCATAGCCAAGATCGTTAACTCTGGGCTTCCAAGTCCGAGCTCAGCGGTATAAGGTACTTGTTTTATTATCCAGTACATTTTCAGGCATACTACCCATACTACCTGCACTCGTTGCAGCGCTGTCCGTGTGCCGCGAGGCCACATGTCCGTAGATAGCACTGTTGGTGGCGCTCGCTAGTTGCATAACCAATAATCAAAGCACGATCTTTAGGTAAGTGAAGCTTCCAACCTCTCTCCAGAGAGCCATTATCGGAAAACCTCAAATTCTATAACTAGATGTGTGGCAGACATTCCGCTGTTTCACAAACTAATCTCGGTCAAGTATCAGCCCGTCTGCGCATGCGTCAAGGCTGAGTAGTCAACTGAGCTTTGATCTACATATTTCGCCAGTACAACTACTCTCATGATTCGTTTTGTCTTAATATGGCATGCTATTCGCGCTCCAGAACCGAGTATGCTGTGTTTGGTCCAAATTTAGTCCCAATTTTTAGGCCTCAGCGGGACCGCGGCGAGAGCCTAAACGCACAACTCGGAGTCTCGGAGTCTCAGACATAGGAGGGTCCTCCGCCTAAGCACACAGCAGAGCTCAAGTACGTGAGTATACAACAACAGCCCGAGGAAGCACGACGCCATAAGTTGTTTTATTCACCATGCTTAATCACCAGCAGAGCACAGGTTTTCTGTGAGTAGCTCGCCATCATCGCTGAAATTTATATTTGTAACCTTGACTTCAGTTTCTAATATACATAGGCACCGCGCTCAAAGCATTCATTGACTTTCTTCTCTCCAGCTCTCTTTGTCATTTCATCCGTCAAGCTAGAAGCCGGAAGTTGAAAGATCGGTTCGTTCACATTCAATTTAAACCCCTCATGGCTCATATTTACATTTTATAGTTGTACCGAGACACTAGTAGTTAATACGCTGATAATTTATACAGTGAATAATGGCCTGATTACTAGGTATTTCTGACCTACCTATCTGTTGCGACTATCCCTCATGCGTGTTCGACAAGCGTGGCTTCATTAGTATGTCTCACAACGGCAAGTGCCTCTTTCAGCTTTGGTACCCCAACCTCACAAAACAGTCTCAGTATGTGGCTCAACCCTTCAGCGTCGTGTTCGTTGCCAGTAAGTGAGTCTTGACTATGAAGACACGCATAAGAGACTGATTTGCATATAAGTATCTATAGTCTACCTTCCTATCTCGATGCGTATGTGGTTTTTATCCCATGGCATATACCTTTACGAATTTAGATTATTGCATAGTATACGCAAACGTCTTTCTTGTATCGTATTTCATAGCCTTTTTAGCATTGACATCTGAACGCTGATAGCTGAACTTACGCTGAACGCATAGGACAAGTTGAGGAACAATTCAGTTGAAGTCACAATTCCTGGGGACGCGCCTCGTAACCTCAAGCTTTATAGATCCAATCTTGACCGTTCAAAAGCCCCGGCGGGTGCGATCACGGAGGTTCTGCAACATTGTCAGTAGCCAATCCAGCTGCGCGAGAAAGTGTATAAAGCATACACTTGATGATGGTGTACGAAGGTGGGCAAACGCTTCGTAAAATGCTATATTCCCAAGACCAATTTATTCAATTTCAGCCGGATTCCGCAGGCCGCCGCGCAGTACTTTATTGAAATTGCATTTATTAAGGACATGCCCATGTTACGAAGTACTTCAAGTTATTGTGGGATGCTCAGGCTTATCTACGATCTCATTGTATGTCTCCCGCATTACACGTACACGCTGAAACCTAGCCCCGAACTTCGATAATTGAGAGAGTAGCTGTGCTAGATTACAGCTGGTTCTGTAATTTACCCAGTAACACTGAAATTGATGGGAGTAAACCGACTTCCGTGCTCTTGCTTTTGGGCCCGTACGTCACGAGCGCCCAGCGCTCTGTCCTCTCGTCCGAGGACCTGAACAGGTTCCACCTAATCGTGTAGCTCACCATGTCTGGCGCAGGTCCCCGAGAGAATATCTTCCCAACGCGTATGGCGTTGACGAACACCAAACTGCGGCTGAAGGGAGCTCAGACTGGTCACTCGCTACTTGCCAAGAAGCGTGATGCTCTGACGACCCGTTTCCGTGCTATCCTGCGGAAGGTGGACGAGGTGGGCCCCCCTGCAAGAGGATCGAGCTGGTGAGGCTGACCTCTGAACTTGTAGGCTAAGCGGAAGATGGGACGAGTGATGCAGCTCGCCTCCTTCTCCTTGGCTGAAGTCACTTATGCAACGGGCGATATCTCGTACCTTGTGCAAGAACAAGCCAAGTCTGCTTCGTTTAAAGTGAAGGCGAAGCAGGAGAATGTATCAGGTGTTGTTCTGCCCGCGTTTGAGGTGGACAGAGTACCGGGGACAGGTGCGTATCTTGTTATAAAACGGGACCGGTTGATCGATCCTTGCGCCGTCTAGACTTTAACCTCACCGGTCTCGGGCGTGGTGGACAACAAGTTATACGGTCCAAGGAAGTGTACGCGAAAGCTGTAGAGACCTTGGTCGAGCTTGCTTCCTTGCAAACTGCTTTTATGATCCTGGATGAAGTCATCCGAGCTACCAACCGCCGTGTCAACGCTATCGAGCACGTTATAATCCCACGACTTGAGAACACCGTCAAGTATATCACGAGCGAGTTGGACGAGATGGACCGCGAAGAATTCTTCCGGTGAGTATGTCAGCGAAGCTTTTATAGCATAATAATAAACGACTGCCACCATTCTAGTCTGAAGAAGGTGCAAGGCAAGAAGAAACGAGACGCAGAGAAAGCGGACAAACTGAAGAGTCTACAAAATGCTGATGCAGAACGATCCCCCAATGTCGTCGAAGAGGGGGTCGAAAGCGGAGGGGACCTTCTGAGCAACAGAGATGAAGACGTCATTTTCTAAGTTCACGTAACCTGGATTCCTCGTTGCGTCCCCGCATGAAATTAATGTATGTATCCAGACTTAGCATCGTCGGTATACCACTGCACAGTATAGGCAATAATACATTGATACGACGACAGAGCAGAAAAGTGTTATCCTCGTGGGACAATGAGCCACAAAGCCCACACAGGAAACCATGAAGGACATGGAATATGCCGGCAAGTAGCCTCATGGAGCATAAAATGTGTGAGGTATGCGCATACATACATGGATGGTTTTGAAATGCAATACGACAGCCAAGGAGACAGGACACAGAAAGACCGTGGAAGAGAGGATTTACTACAATATGTTAGCGCGTGGAAAAGGGTCAACACACGACAGCCACTCACGTCGACCATCTCGACGTCGCCGCCGGTCGCTTTCTTGCGGTTCTTGCGGTCAAGGATTGCCCGTCTGAGCATGCGCTTCAGCCCCGATTCGGAGGTGAATGTAGACCTAAACGCACCTGTCCTTGTCCAACTTGATGGTAGTAATGACGACATTGCTCGGGTGGATGCCAATGGGTACCGACGAGCCGTTTGACTTGTCGCGCTGAACACGTTCAACGTGGATGACCCATTTCTTGCGGTACACCTGAGTGACCTTGCCCTCACGGCCCTTGTATTTCCCCCGGACGATGCGGACTTCGTCATCCTTGCGGATCGGAAGTGCACGAGTCTGTAGTCACAACATCAGGTTTTTCAGTTGGAATTCATTATGGACTCAAATGCAAGTGAAACGCACGTTGTGTTTGCCACGGAGGTCCTTCGAGAGAGCAGAGGACATAATCTTGCGGCGGACGGAAGAAGGCGCGTCGAAGTGCGCCTTGCGCGACTTGCGCCGGGAGGAAGAGACGTCTGTATGAATCAAAGTAGAGGGACATACGTTGGTTAGCATTTGGTCCAATATCCACGTAACCCGAGACAGATCAACCCTCCCCGCCTCATGTACATCCACACTGTCCTGACCCCATCCAGCCCATTCCACCCCTCCAAACGTATAGATTCGACGGCGGAGCAGTAGGACAGCATAACTAACCCGGGTTGAGCTTGGCCATTAGGGAGAATCCGTCGGTCTTGAAGATCTTGAGGTTGTCTGGGACTCGATGACTGCAAAAGTGGGACAGTCGGCGATGTGACAAGCGCCCGAGCGGGAGCAAGCGCTAAGGTTAGGTTTATGGCCGACGTCTCTCTTGAGTTACACTAACCCATGTCCTCTGACAAAGTTCGACCTTCAAAGCTCAAATTCAAAGGCGAGAAGACGAAGAAGAAGCGCAAGCGTGAGGATGCAGACGAGGCGGAGGGTAGCAGTCGGCGTCGGCGCAAAGAGGATGTCGATGAAGCTCCAGATACTTGGGTACTACCAGACGAAGCTCACCAGATACGAGGACCAACATTCATAACGCACCCCTCTGATCCTTCGCCCATATGCGTCACCTACGATAACACACGCGGGAAGATTGTCTTACACTCGTTAGACAAGGACAAACCAGCGGACGAAGAGGAGCTACCAAAGCTTCTCGACCGCGTCCCTGCCGAGGTATCGCAAGTTTGGGTCGTCACCAGAGTTGCTGGATCGCCTACCATCAACTTGCGTACAGGCGTAGGCGAGGGCAAGTTCCTCTCATGCGACAAACATGGGCTTGTGTCTGCCGACCGGGAGGCGAGAGGTCCTCAGGAGGAGTGGACTCCTGTTGTGTTTCCAGACGGCATGGTCGCATTCCAAAATGTGTATGAAAAGTATCTGGCTGTGGACGAAGTCGCCGGAGGTCAGCTGTCTTTGCGTGGGGATAGCGAAGAAGTGGGATTTAGAGAAAGATTCTGGGTCAAAATCCAGAACAAGTACAAAGAGGAGGCGCACGCGGAAGAACGAAAGCGTAAAGAGGGCATGTCTATAGACTCTAGTGTTGACGAAGCTTCCACGAAGTAGGTGCTAAATTGTTCGAAGGGAATACGCATTCTCACCCTGATCCCGAAGTAAACTATATCAGGCATGGGGTGCTGGGCGATCCGTCGTCTCATCCCAGGACAAGAA